CACCGTATTTTGCTGCCCAGATTCCAGCTGATACCCATTCCTCTTCCCAGCCCACACCCCCCATCTCTGCTACTTGGCTCAATTGTGGGACATGGAGAAATGTTCATGGTGGACGAGCAGTGACACGAGGTGGCTCGCACCAGCCCTGCATGTCCCGTTTTCAGTTTAGGGAAATATGGTCACCCTAGTTATGGCTCTCTAGTTCCCTGCTTCAGCCTAATTTAGCCTAGGTTGAGTTAACTTGCACCAATTGTCTGGCCTGCATGAGATCATACGTCAGCTGCCAAGTGCAGCACACACCAGCCACTCTCCCTCCCGCCCTGGACTGGACCTGGTTTTAAAAGGGGAAAATGTTTATCACACAAATTTCCAATTTTGAACACTTTCAACCAGTTTTACCCTGACATGACCCCTGTGCTGCAGACCACAGAGATAGATGTATAAGAGCTGTCTGTGCTGCCTTCACACGAAGGGAATGGAGGGTGCCACAGAATCTGCCCCAAAGTATTGATTGTGGCCCCTTGACCTTTTGGAAATAACATGCTTAGGCTTCAGACTGAAAAGCTTGGACGTCACTGATATATAGTCAGGAAGAGGGTTTTTTTGTTTTGTTTTTTAATAGATGCCAGCCACAATGTGAAATGTGGGCTCAACTATGCTTTCATCCAAACCCCACAAAGATATATAGATATATGTATATAAATAAATAAATAAGAAATATGTATTTATTTATAATTCCTTGATGAATACTATGCAGAAAATGGACCTTTCTATTTGTGAACAGGAGTTAAGGAGAAAGGTAACCAAGTGAATTAAATAACTAAGCATGTCTGAGAGATTGCCTTGCTCTCAGTTCCTGCACACTAACAGGGCAATTGGTGTAATCTGGGGTACCTGAGCTTATGTTCTCCAGACTTAAATATCAAGGAGCTGATAGCTGGGTGTTCTCAGTGATCTGTGTCCAGGAAGCTCACTTCCCTTCTATACCACCCCTGGGTTGGGGGGTGGAGGGGTGTGTGTGTAAAATATTGTTTGCGGTGAGGATTTTTAATTTAACTTTGTTTTTAAAGTCATTTGTTGTGGAAATGGTTCACAGGAATCTTGAGACTTTTGTAACTGAGTAGATTTTATAAACAAAATCAAACCTTAAAAAAATAAAAATCCAAGGCCAAAATTCTTGGACTTGGGTGCCAAAGTTGGACCCCCACATGAATCAGTAGTGACTTAAATAAGGTGCCCTGAGCTCCCCTGACTTCTGAAAGGCAGATGCATAAGTATGCATTTGGGCTTGTAATTCTGGCACACATGTTTGAGAACTTTGTTACATATATTTCATAGAAAAAGAGTTAAGATTCCACAAAAAACTTGACTTGGCCTCCACCATTATATGTCTCTAAGTATTCTATCAGCTTCTCAATTTGTTGCATTCCTTAGCATGTTTTCATAGTTCATTATGTTCTTCTCTGTCTTGTGTGTGCAGTAGGTTCTTATAGCTTTGACAAGTCAATCCACCTTTTGGTATGAGTTTCCTCATGTATAAAATGGTGGTGATACCTGTGAGTTCCATAATACTTATGAGCTCCACAAAGCTGGTGAAGAAACTTATAAATTCCTTTGGGACTTGATGAAACTCCAAAATGTTGAAATTTCCATGGTGCATATAAGCCCCATGGTACATTCTCAACCATATCACACTACTCCTGTGCTCTGTTTCTTCCATATCTGAAGTTCCTAGCTACACCATTTTGATGTAGCTCTTTAAAAAAAAGTTAGCTGACTTTCTCAATAAACCTCAGATTAATCCCCCTGAATCTTATTTGTCTCCACATGACAAACTTCAGGCAGGAAGAGGCATTTAACAAAGAAAAGAAAAAAAAACTTAGAGTAAGATTGGTATTTGGCTTAGTTACTATTACTTACTGTAGCAATTGTATAGTCCTTTTCATCTTCAAAGCACTTTGCAACTCATTAATTAGATAATGTTTTTAACCTTAACTAGGAGTTGCTTCTGCAGCACCATAAATTGAAGCCAGAAAGATTTAAATTGGAAATAAGGGGCAAATTTCTAGCAGTGAAAGTAATTAATCATTGCAACAGCTTATCAAGGGAAATGATAGTCATTGTCACTTGAAGTCTTTAAATTGACATTGGACACCTTTTCAAAAGATAACTTGTGACTGAACTAGAGTTTATTATGCTCAACAGCATACATTTAAATAGGGAAGAATAATTCCCTCCACTACACCAATTCCTGGATGAAATACAATGGACTAAATCAGTTGCAGCTCCCACTGGCTGCAGTTTGCTGCTGCAGGCCAATGGGGGCTGGGGGAAGTGGCGCGGGCTGAGGGACATACCGGCCGCCACGTCCCACAGCCCCCATTGGCCTGCAGCGGCAAACCGCAGCCAGTGGGAGCCATGATCGGCCGAATCTGTGGATGCGGCAGATAAACAAACCAGCCCGGCCTGCCAGGGGCTTTCCCTGAACAAGCGGCATCCCAAGTTTGGGAAACACTGCTCTAGATCATGATGAGATAGACCTAGCAAAAAAATATTCAACGACCTCTATCCCAGCTGGGCTTTGAGGTGCTGCTGTTCTTGGCATCTTTTGTGTCCCTCCTACATGGTTATATGTATGGATATGCTCAATCCTGAATCACTTAGTCTCATGCAATGAATGTGGAAGCAAGGTTGCCGTGGTGCTCGCAGAAGTTGTGATTTCCTAATCTGCCTTGTTTTTCCCTGAGCTGTATGACTTCCTCTCCTTTTATTTCTCCCCCTGCGGCCAAAGAAGTATAAACTTCTGCCATCCATCCCTGATGTGGGATTGGATGTGCGTTTGAAAATTCAGCCACTTTCCCTCTCCCCCAACCCAGGAACCTGGCCTGCATGCCCCTGCAAGAAATATTGATGATGATACCACTGGAGGAGATGCACAGCACTATCTTCTCCCTGCTGCTCCTGAGAATTCACTAGTGAGAAAAGGCTGCTGCTGGGAGAAGGCTCTCAGCCTGGCAGTGAATTTTGAATTTCTGGGAAGGAGTCTGAAATAAAGAGTTCAAACAGATCGTTTCTGAGTTTATCTCATTGTTTCATCCTTCTCAGCACTGAATGTTACCATGCTACAACACATATCAAACTTGCTGAGTGAGGTATGCAACAGTAAATCGTTATTAATACATTAGTCCATTTTGTTTTTTACCTGTGCAAAGCTATAATAAACTTCGTGATCCAGACACATTTTCCCTTTACTTCATTAGAAAAGAATCCAGTTCATTTTTAAAACTCCAGAGAGTGTTGGTAACTTTCCCTAAAAGAGTCTGAGAACTTAATTTTTGTGTTTTGTTTTGTTGTGAATCAAAGAGAAATAGGACTGAAGTTTGAAACAATTACTGCATGGTTTCATAATGTTTTGTTATAGCAAAATCTAATTCTGTTGAAATTCTTCATATCTAATTATTCTAATGGGTGAAATTCATTGTAACATCTCACAACAGACTGTCTCATATACTCTCATTGACTATGTACTTTTACATGGGATCTCAGTGGTAAAGTTTTAATGTCACTGACACTAAAATTCTGATCTAGCGTAAGAGAAATTCTATCACATGATGGACTCTCACATACCTTTCTGTAAGACTTTGTTCACTTTTAATAATATGCAAATAAAGAAGAGCCTCACCTTAAAAATTAAAACATGCCATATAATCTTCACCTACCAAAACACCAGTATGAGAGCAATATACCTCTTGATAACTTGATTTTGTTTTTATTTCTTCAGCAGCAATTGAACAAACTCACTCTTCTAAATACTGCTGAGTTCATATTAATTTTCATGAATTGAGCTTGTAGATCTGTGCTCAGACTTCAAAGAGAAAATTTTGCTATGTGATTTCTAAAACATACATGTCAATATAACATTTTAACTCAAGTGAAGCACAATTTCCTCAGCCCATGTGCTACCATGACTTAATGTGTGACTTTGGGGACGTTACTTAACTTCTCTTTCTATCATTGTTTCTCCATCTATAAAAGGGGTTATACTTGTCTAGCACAGAAGTAGGTAGGATTTTGTCTAAAAATATATTTAAAAGTTGAGCTTTCAGCCTTAACTCTTAATTTCCTTTCTTCTGAGTCCCTGCTTTCCCAACTGAAATATTGCTTATCAGTATATTTGTTTACAGTGCATTTTTATAGTAGTGACAAACTTATCCATCATGTTGTCATAATAAGCGGTAACCTTATCACAAATTGCCCATTAATTTGCATCTTTTCAGTGAATTATATGGAGCGCATTGTAGCGATATTTGGTCTTGTATTGCACTCTCTAGCTAAGGACCTCAAAGCACTTCGCAAACACTACTGAATTATGACGCACAACACTGCTCTGATGTAGGAAAGAATTATTATCCCCATGTTACAGATGGAGAAAATGAGGCACAGAGAGGTTAAGCGACTTGCCCAGAGTTGCACAGGATGTCTATGGGAGAACTGGGAACAGCACCCAGATCTCCTGACTTCAAATCTAGAGCTTTAACAACTGAAACATCCTTCTCCAGAATGATACCATGCAATTTTCAGAAAAGTTATAGCACTGTTTTGATGAGAACTCAGTAAATTACTCAGATCTCCATATCTTAAAATATTCTGGCCATAGTAAAACTATGTGTGGATTTAAAGCCTTTGTACAGTGAAGGTTCATACAGCTTGTCTGTCTCCCTAATGCAGTTTCTGCATTAGAGTTAATGATATTTCAATATTTCTGAAGTATTTAGCATTTTTCACTGTACTGATTACAATCCGTTGTAGATTATAATTATGCTGCTTTTATCACTCAAACACTCAAGTGATTTTTAAACCTTCAAGTGGCTCATTCCAGATTTTTATTTCTCAGTGTTTGAAAGTCTGCTTAGATTATGCCCTTCTGTCACATTAGCTGTAAATGCTAAATCAATGCAAAATGAATAGATTCTTATTTCTAAAAATAACCTTTTTCACAGGAAGAAGAACTAAGGAAAAGTGGGGAAGCCAAATATTCACACTTGAGCGACGAGCTTCATGTTCTAATTGAAGTGTTTGCTCCACCTGGGGAAGCTTATTCACGTATGAGTCATGCCTTGGAAGAGATTAAAAAATTCCTTGTTCCAGTAAGTGGCTCATAACATTTTTTTTTCTAATTATCTCTAGTTCTGCTACATTGAAATCATTCATTCTTTAAATCCTACCTGGTTCAGGAAACAATTTGATCTCCTGAAGATTCATTCTATGAGATGCCCAACAAACCACTAATTGTTCCTTAAGTATCTTCTGTGTGTGTGGTTGTTGTGTTTTTTTATGATCATAGGTCATGGACCTCAGTGTAGAAATATGCCTCTAAGATCCTTGAGTATTGTATATTTGTACTGGCGTTGTTCGCATGTGCTACATTTTATATAAATGTCTTTATACAAAAGATTCTGAATTTACATGCAAAACTAAAAATACAATAATAACATTTTATTTGGCAGTGTTTACATGAATAATTCTGATCAGCTCCAATATTACTGCAGTTCAGAAGACTAATCCTAACTCAGGCTTGAATTTCAGAAACCATCGCTATTCAGAAAAGGACTCCAGTGTGTGCTTAAGTGCTTTCTGAAACGGGGGCCCAAAATTCTAGAATACTATGTAGCAGGACAAATGAGGGATGGAGGAAACTAACTTTTCTTTTATATTTGTATTATACAGAACTACTTCAGCTAACCCAAACTCCTTGCAATCTGAACCAGAATTATGTCCCTTTTTGCCTATTAATTTCTTTGCAACTATTTTAAATTTCAGTTGTCCAAATGTATTCACTGTACCGCATGACATTTTGATATTCAAGGTTTTACTTTATATATAATCTGCATTAATGATGATTTTGCAACAGTGTTGTGGCATGAGCTACATACCAGAAAAGCTGGGTTTTGTCGAGTCTGATCTGAGGGCATAGATACTGTGAATGCAATGAATACAAGAAAGAAAAGGAGTACTTGTGGCAGTTTAGAGACTAACAAATGTATTTGAGAATAAGCTTTTCTGAGCTACAGCTTACTTCATCGGATGCATTCAGTGGAAAATACAGTGTGGACATTTATATACATAGAGAACATGAAACAATGGGTGTTACCATACACACTGTAAGGAGAGTGATCACTTAAGGTGAGCTGTTACCAGCAGGAGAGCGGGAGGAGGGGGAGAAGGGGGAAGGAAACCTTTTGTAGTGGTAATCAAGGTGGGCCATTTCCAGCAGTTGACCAGAATGTCTGAGGAACAGTGGGGGGAATAAACATGGGGAAATAGTTTTACTTTGTGTAATGACCCATCCACTCCCAGTCTTTATTCAAGCCTAAGTTAATTGTATCCAGTTTGCAAATGAATTCCAATTCAGCAGTCTCTCATTGAAGTCTGTTTTTGAAGTTTTTTTGTTGAAGAATTGCAACTTTTCGGTCTGTAATCGAGTGACCAAAGAGATTGAAGTGTTCTCCGACTGGTTTATGAATGTTATAATTCTTGACATCTGATTTGTGTCCATTTATTCTTTTACATAGAGACTGTCCAGTTTGACCAACATGGCAGAAGGGCATTGCTGGCACATGATGGCATATATCACATTGGTAGATGTGCAGGTGAACGAGTCTCTGATAGTGTGGCTGATGTGACTGGGCCCTATGATGGTGTCCCCTGAATAGATATGTGGACACAATTGGAAACGGGCTTTGTTGCAAGGATAGGTTCCTTGGTTCGTGGTTTTGGTGTGTGGTGTGTGGTTGCTGGTGAGTATTTGCTTCAGGTTGGGGGGCTGTCTGTAAGCAAGGACTGGTCTGTCTCCAAAGATCTGTGGGAGCGATGGTCGTTCTTCAGGATAGGTTGTAAATCCTTGCGGATGCGTTGGAGAGGTTTTAGTTGGGGGCTGAAGGTGATGGCTAGTGGCGTTCTGTTACTATCTTTGTTGGGCCTGTCCTGTAGTAGGTGACTTCTGGTTACTCTTCTGGCTCTGTCAATCTGTTTCTTCACTTCAGCAGGAGGGTAATGTAGTTGTAAGAATGCTTGATAGAGACCTTGTAGGTGTTTGTCTCTGTCTGAGGGGTTGGAGCAAATGCAGTTGTATCATAGAGCTTGGCTGTAGACAATGGATCGTGTGGTGTGGTCTGGATGAAAGCTGGAGGCATATACGTAGGAATAGCGGTCAGTAGGTTTCCGGTATAGGGTGGTGTTTATGTGACCATCGCTTATTAGCACTGTAGTGTCCAGGAAGTGGATCTCGTGTGTGGACTAGACCAGGCTGAGGTTGATGGAAATTGTTGAAAACATGGTGGAATTCCTCAAGGGCTTCTTTTCCGTGGGTCCAGATGATGAAGATGTCATCAATGTAGCGCAAGTAGAGTAGGGGCATTAGGGGACGAGAGCTGAGGAAGCATTGTTCTAAGTCAGCCATAAAAATGTTCGCATACTGTGGGGACATGCGGGTACCCACAGTAGTGCCGCTGATTTGAAGGTATACATTGTCCCCAAATGTGAAATAGTTATGGGTGAGGACACAGACACAAAGTTCAGCCACCAGGTTTGCCATGACATTATCGGGGATAGTGTTCTTGATGGCTTGTAGTCCCTCTTTGTGTGGAACGTTGGTGTAGAGGGCTTCTCCATAGTGGCCAGGATGGTGTTTTCAGGAAGATCACCGATGGATTGTAGTTTCCTCAGGAAGTCAGTGGTGTCTCGAAGATAGCTAAGAGTGCTGGTAGCGTAAGGCCTGAGGAGGGAATCTACATAGCCAGACAATCCTGCTGTCAGGGTGCCAATACCTGTGATGACGGGGCATCCAGGATTTCCAGGTTTATGGATCTTGGGTAGCAGATAGAATACCCCAGGTTGGGGTTCCAGGGGTGTGTGTGTGTGCGGATTTGTTCTTGTCCTTTTTCAGGGATTTTCTTGAGCAAATGGTGTAGTTTCTTTTGGTAACCCTCAGTGGGATCAGAGGGTAATGGCTTGTAGAAAGTGGTGTTGGAGAGCTGCCTAGCAGCCTCTTGTTCATATTCCGACCTATTCGTGATGACGACAGCATCTCCTTTGTCAGCCTTTTTGATTATGATGTCAGAGTTGTTTCTGAGGCTGTGGATGGCATTGTGTTCTGCACGGCTGAGGTTATGAGGCAAGTGATGCTGATTTTCCACAATTTCAGCCTGTGCACGTAAGGGGAAGCACTCTATGTAGAAGTCCAGTCTGTTGTTTCGACTTTCAGGAGTAGTCCACCCAGAATCCTTTTTGTAGTCTTGGTAGGAAGGTCTCTGTGGGTTAGTATGTTGTTCAGAGGTGCGTTGGAAATATTCCTTGAGTCGGAGATGTCGAAAATAGGATTCTAGGTCACCACAGAACTGTATCATGTTCATGGGGGTGGAGGGGCAGAAGGAGAGGCCCCGAGATAGGACAGATTCTTCTGCTGGGCTAAGAGTATAGTTGGATAGATTAACAATATTGCTGGGTGGGTTAAGGGAACCACTGTTGTGTCCCCTTGTGGCATGTAGTAGTTTAGATAGTTTAGTGTCCTTTTTCTTTTGTAGAGAAGCAAACTGTGTGTTGTAAATGGCTTGTCTAGTTTTTGTAAAGTCCGGCCATGAGGAAGTTTGTGTGGAAGGTTGTTTTTTTATGAGAGTATCCAGTTTTGATACATCAGCCACACTATCAGAAGCTCGTTCACCTGCACATCTACCAATGTGATATATGACATCATGTGCCAGCAATGCCCCTCTGCCATGTAGTTTGGCCAAACTGGACAGTCTCTATGTAAAAGAATAAATGGACACAAATCAGACGTCAAGAATTATAACATTCAAAAACCAGACCAGTTTGGTCACTCGATTACAGACCGAAAAGTTGCAATTCTTCATAAAAAAAAATTCAAGAACAGATGCCAACGAGAGACTGCTGAATTGGAATTAATTTGCAAACTGGATACAATTAACTTTGGCTTGAATAGAGACTGGGAGTGGATGGGTCATTACACAAAGTAAAACTATTTCCCCATGTTTATTCCCCACCACCCACCACCCACTATTCCTCAGATGTTCTTGTCAACTGCTGGAAATGGCCCACCTTGATTACCACTACAAAAGGTTTCCTCCCTCTCACCCCCCCCCGCTCGCTCTCCTGCTGGTAACAGCTCATCTTAAGTGATCACTCTCCTTACAGTGTGTATGGTAACACCCATTGTTTCATGTTCTCTAGGTATATAAATCTCCACACTGTATTTTCCACTGAATGCATCCGATGAAGTGAGCTGTAGCTCAAGAAAGCTTATTCTCAAATAAATTTGTTAGTCTCTAACGTGCCACAAGTCCTCCTTTTCTTTTTGCGAATACAGACTAACACAGCTGCTACTCTGAATCCAATGAATACAGAGTAAGAGTTGATTCAAATTTTTCAATAAACAGCAAAGGAATACAAAATTATACTAATAAAAGCTCTGTCTTCCAACAAGAATGCAACAATGCATTTACTATATTTTGAACCCATATAATACAAATCAAATAAAAAAAACATTCAAATACTCAAATTGATTACAGCATAGGCTAATCATTTAGAGACTTTATTTTCTTGTTTCCTTTTTTTGTTTTGTTTTGTTTTAAATTGTTCTTTTTTTGGATACAGTATTTAAAACCTTATATTTTACAACCACTGAACGTGGTGGGTTTTTTTAAATGAGTAACTTGAAAATGGCTACATGCAAACTGTGAGACATTTTGCTTTAAATAATCAGAATTCACACTAAGTGTGACAACAAAATATACCATGTTTGAAACAGGCCATTAAGTTGTCATTTTTCATCCCACTACTATATTTCCAGTTTGGAAATATAAATGATGAAATCAAATGACCTTTTACATGCTCTTATACTGGTACAAATTCAATGAGAAGTGAAAACAGTTTATTAACATAAATTTTGTTTCCAGATTGATCATGCAATAAAGGGGACTGAATAAGAATATAAGTGCGGTCATAATGGGTCAGACCAATGGTCCATCTAGCTCAGTATCCTGTCTTCTGACAGTGGCTAGCGCTAGTTGCTTCAGATGAATGAACAGAACAGAGCAATCATTGAGTGATCTATCCCCTGTTGTCCAGTCCC